TAATAGTAGTGGTAGTAGTAGCAGTAGTAGGAGCAGTAGTAATAGTAGTAGTAGTAGTCGTCGTCGTCGTCGTCGTCGTCGTAGTCGTTGTCGTTGTCGTAGTCGTAGTCATAGTTGTAGGAGTAGTAGTAGTAGTAGTAGTAGTAGTAGTAGTAGTAGCAGTAGCGTTTAGGATCAAGAAACATCAGGACAATGGTTTTTCGTAGGCAAGTTCATCACGTGCACGATGGGAGCAGCTGCTGAAGTCTGCGAAGTGGTTCGCATCTACTGGCCGCTCTTGTTGGGCAACGTCTTGGAGTGGTATGAGCTTCTCCACTTTGGCTATTCAAATTCACAGGTCGTTTTGATGCCATCACAGAAGCGCTAGATTCGGCGTGGGACTGCATGCATGGATGTCAAAAGCCCTGCATGCAACAAGGTTTGCCATCTTCAGTTTCCTGGAGCCCTATTTCCAGACCAACTTCTTTCATGACTCAGCCATCTCCACATGGTGGGCGGTTCTTGCGGCAAAACTCTTTGAAGCGACGCTTCTGTAGTTTGGTAGAGCTTCTTGTAGTGGCGAGTGCCGTGGCTCATTGTTCGTGAAAGGCTTGGATTTGCTTGCACCTTCGCTGCACGCCCATTCGGTGGCCTGTTCATCGGCTTGCTGGGCGATGTCTTTGGCCGCAAGGTCTCTGCCTTCGTGTCAATCTTCGGGATGCTATTCGGTCACCCGGAAATTTCGAATTGCGTGGTGTTTTGCAGAATAATAATAACAGTAATAGTGCCACGAGCCGCGTGAGCGGAGAGGAATCTCGCTCTCAGGCACCGTCGGCCAGGGCATGGTACCCAGCTACCGGTGTGGTGACTTCGCTGGCCATGTGGGCTGGGTCCTGCTGATAGCTCTGCGGATCTTGCAAGGCGTTGCCACAGGCTCTTTGCCAGTCGAAACATCTGCACGATCTTGCAAGCATGCACACTGTAGGCCCTGTAGTCTGTACGATCTGCCTGCAGAGGTGCCAAAATTGTGCTCAAGTGTGCTGCCAGCAAGGTGGGGAAATTGCCGCAGTCTCCACCTACATCACGGAGGTGGGCTCCCAGCGCGTGCTGGCAAGGTCCATGGCCCTGCTGGGAATTACTTGCAGCGTGGGTGTCTTCCTGGCGCAGTTGGCGAGTTACCTGGTTGTTTCAGTGTCCGGCACCTCGACACTTTTCGGCCCTGTTGGGAATGCCACAACAAGCAGCAGCATCTTGCAAGCGTTGGCCTGTGGCCCGCCTGAGCTTTCGAGCTTGAGCTGTCAGGCGAGGAGGCGGCATCTGAGTGGGCTTGGCGGCTACCGTTTATCACCGCCATCATCCCTGGGCTGATTTCAGCACGAGGTCGTCAAGACATGCCGGAGTCGAAAATCTTCCTGGACCAGAACACTCGTAAGAGTGCAGGCCGAAGCCCCGAAACATCTCGAAGCCTTTGTATGTCGCAATGCAGCAGGAACACGTGTGGCCTGACACTGTTACTGCAGGCTTGGACACAGCCGCCGGATCATTGCGAGGAGTCGCGGGAAGACTTCATGCCGTCTTAAAGTCTCATTCTGCGGCACTCACACTGGGCACCCTATCTGTGGCTGGCACAGCCATGCTGTCTTATGGTGGCTATGCTTGGGGGTTAGTCTATCTCGAAAAGCACGGCGCCACACAAGCAAGCCTGATTCTGGCCGGAACGATCGGGCGCGCAGCCGCGATCCTTTTGGCACCTCTTGTAGGTTGGCTGGCAGACATGAGAGGCTGGGGCTCGAGTGCTCGATGCACCCCTGCACTGAGCCCGTTCGGCATCGCATGAAGGGGAAAGGCTTAATTAGCTTACTAAGTATCTTTAACCAGGACGTGCCTCTTGTTGACATGAGACCGCGCATGATCCGCACGAAACTGCAACAGACTCCGACCATTTCCGGGCACACTCAAGGATATTTGTGAGGCTATGAAAAACAGGTCTCCCGGCGTGATGATGCGTGGGCATTTCAAGTTGCCGGCTGCGTCAAGTATCGCGAAAATGTGCGTTTCTCAATCACTCCACGGACCCTTTGGATCGTTTCACCCAGTTCAAGATGCAACGAAGCAGACCACATCACTCCTTTGATAAAAGATGCAGCAGAGAAGGTGGACGGATGCGTCGGTCCAGTGACGACACTGTATCGACAGAGATGCCAACAGGATGAACGACAGACGCCGACTGCAACACAGCAATAGACTTAAGCGACTGCCGCACGTTGCCGCTGGCTATTGAGGAACGAACCTGCCAGGGATTCGCCACCTGAAAGCAGAGACTGCCAGCCCCTGGGCGCCAGACTTTCTGCTCCCCTAGCACATAACCCCAGAGACTCCAAAACCCCTTAATTAAGGAATGTACGTTAAATTATACTAGGATCCCTAATATGATTAAAGGTATATTCCTTAATTAAGGGGTTTTGGAGTCTCTGGGACTGCATGCGTGGTCCAGGGCCTCGGTCCGATCTTTGCTGCAAAGGTAGACAAGAACTCGCCATTCACTTCTTGAACACGTTGCTACAAGAGTTTACCGCGCTTTTGCACCAGTAGTGGCAGGCATGCTTTGCCGTCACAGTCGAGCGGTAGCTGGAGAGGGTTTGCCCGGACTTGGCCTGTTTGTGTGTGTTGGAGGCCGGATGTGTTTATGGACCAGCATTGTAAGCCGTTCCTCTGCGAAGGTGTAGCCTGGAATCAGTTCTTCGGGTCCTGCATGCTGGCGCTGGCGGGCATTCCCTTCTTCCTCGCAATCGTGCGGAAGCTCGCTCCTAAAACCCTGAACTTGAAAGCCTTAATTGGTGCAGTTGTTGTCTCGGGAGCCAGGGGGAGGGCCGATGCTCACATGCTAACAGCCCGGCATTGCAAAGCAGCGGTTGCAGTCGCTAGCGGCACCAAGGAGCCCGGACGTTTTCGAAGTCGTGGTCTTCGCATTCGGGCTCGGATATGGTGTCCTCCTGGCGTTTAACTCCATGGTGCTGCCTTTGCACGTAGTTGAGCTGTTCCCGGCCTCTGTTCGACATGTCGGCGTGGGCACGAGCTACAATGTTGGAATGTGTTTGTTTGGAGGATTTGCACCTGCTTTGTTTGAGCTCTCGCTGAAGGTGAGCCCTCTGTTTCCCGGAGTCTTACTCAGCCTTTCTGGCTGCATTCCAGCGCTGGCTATACTTGTCAGCCTGCGATTGCAGGCCCGGGGCCTTCTCTGCTTACCGCACATCCGGCCAGCTCCATACTTCGGACGCTTGAAGCCGTGCAAAGAATGTCAGACAGATCTCTCCTTCGTCGTAGATGCATGATGCAAGATGCAGGACCCAGGGACGATCCATGCTTCTGCGATCCAACTAAGTTAAGCTCTCTTCTCGGGGTGGGCGGCTGCAGGCAGGTGCGCCCTCTCGCAAAGATTCAGAGGAGAGCAGCAGGGCGGAGGAGCATCCTTTCCTCGCTCTTGCCGCACTTTTAAACCCTACAGCAGCGACCCACAGTTACCTGTAACCTCGCAAGGGGTGCGTGCCACAAGGGCTCCTGCACCCGAACAGCGCAAGATGGTGTAAAAAGCCGAAAGTTGATGTCTCGCACAAAGTTGAGACTAACGGAGCTCGGTTTTTTGCATGCGTGACAATCTTGTATGATATTGGTATAAAATGTAGTTACACAGGGCACCGGCATGTAGTCTGCTGTGATAGAGCATGGTAAAGTAGAACAAAATGAAACATACCATGAAGCATCGGCGCATTTCATCAGGCAGTTCCTGGAGCCTTTGGACAGGCCAAAATTTTCAGCGCGACGCTTGGATTTTGGGAGCCGAATGTGCCACCTTGCAGACGGGTTGTTGGTTGGAGTGATGAGTACTGAGGGTTAGTGTTATGGGCCTCTAGAACAAGTCACAGAGTAATGTCCATCCCTTGCAACTCATGTGCTGAACGCTTATCCAGGCATTTACCTGTTCTTCTGCGTGGTGGCTCTGGCTCTCCTGACCCGATTTGCACGGACTAGCATTTCGCCGAATTTTGTATGCTCCTGCGTCGTGCCAGGTTTTCGTTTACTTCCTCCTGCCTGAGACCAATGGAGTCCGGCTGGAGGCCGTCACGGCCCGTCGTCCGCAGGAGGCACGCCCTGGACGCGGCTTGCAAAAGTTTAACTCGTGACCCGGGCAATGCAGAGCGCAGTTCGAAGAAGTTCGCTCAACATCCCAAGTCCTTGCAATGCCTGTGTTGGGTACCCTCGCGTCAGTCGAATTTGAGGCTAGTGTCAAATTCAACTCATGCATGCGGAGGCCATGCTTACAGATTATCAATTATAAAGACGGTGAGAACGATGTGGCAATCCGCACAGCTGGAAGCTGGCACGACGCAAGACGGCCCGACTTTCGAGTCAGCGGGCCCAGGGGCCGCGAACAGACCCACAGCAGCCTGAGTTAGGACCGTTAGGCATGAGGCTCATGTCTCCCATGACAGCTGGATTTTTTGTGGAGTTGGGAATACAGGATTCGAACGAACATCTTCGCAGACTCGGCAGTGGGAACCTTCAATCGCCTCAACACAGCAACTGCAATCTGCACCCTCTCGCACCTCTGCTCTTGTCAAGCATAATCGAAACCATTCGCATGCTTGGCAAGGCTGACTGCGATCTCAGGACCCCGCCATAAGGCGCCGTGGCCTCGGCTGACTGTGGTAGTGTGGTCCGTTTTATACGTGATATATACTATATTATGTTATATTGTATTATATTATATCATATCATCTTGCATGGTGAGGGTACTCCCTTGACGAAGCTTCTGTGTGTCCGTCCGTGTGTGTGTGTGTGTGTGTGTGCAGCCCAGTCCTTCGGCCGCAGGCTGGGCTGGTCCTGGGAGCCGTTAATGAAAGGCGTCTGAAGACAGCCTTTTGCCACCCGATTTCACATGTGGATCGGGGCTCTCCCACCTACAGCGGCTAATGCTGAAGGTGTGCTGCACGCATGCCGGGCATGTCAGGCAAACATCCTTTGTCATATTTTATAGTCAGTAGTATCATCCTGACAGGCTCTTGCTGAAGAGCAGCGATGCTCAAAGCTTTAGCATTGAAAGTCTCTGACGCTCGACGTTTGGTCGGCTGCTCGAGTGAAACTTGCTTCGTGCATCCTTCGGTGGAAGCCGGCACTTCCGACATTCTGAGCAAGGTTTACTACCACGATGATTGCTATAACTACTATATCTACAAAAAAGATGTATATGATATTACATATGAAAGTGGGTTCTTGCTTCGGCTACCACAGTACAACTACGAGTACTGTTCCAGCACTGGTACTACTTTTAGGCAACACTAGTCGGCAGCCAGCACTGAACGAGCTGCATCTTGCAGGAGGATGCAGAGCTAGGCACTTCGTTCTCCTTGACTGTTCCTATATCTGCAGCGGGGCAAAGCTTTTACAAGGATCGGCAATGTGATGCAATGGACGGAGTTTGCAGCATCTCCACTCCCCTGTTATTCCTGGCCCCGACGCAAACCTCACGTCACCTTTGTCCCAAGCCCTGACGCATGCTCGGTTAAGACACACGAGCCACAAGTGTAGCTTGAGTAGCGTCCATCGGCAGCGCCTAAAGGACCCGCCCTCCCCTCGCCTCGATGGGCCTGCAACAAAGCCGGGTGGGCCTGACACACGTCTTACGGATCCACAGGGGGATCCAGGGGACAGGCTCCAATTGACTGTGCCTGCGTGCGTGCGCATGTGTGTGAGAGAGAGAGAGCGAGAGTCATGTGTACTTGCCTTTTTTGGGAGTGTGAAGCGTGTTGGCCTCAGTTACAAGCGCAGGGCAGCGCAGAACCTACTCGTACCGTCGCAGGTTCACAGGTCGCCAACCGGAACATCAAAAGCTTGTCGGTTCCGGCAGACCAAGTCACGTTTTCAGGTCCTCAGAGGGGTGACCCGTTGGCAGTCGCCCGATTCTGCCACAGCTTTGTCTCCACAGAAGCAAGTCGGGTGAGTGCTGGCAAAGAGCCGACTAGCTGCGAGAGGGAGAGTGCGAGCAAGTGAAGGTAGTGGCCGCGCGCCCCGAAAATGAGTGAATAGGTGAGCCTCCAGAAACCCGAGCGCCTTTCAGAGTGCCTCTTTGCCAGCAAAGCATCTTCGACGTCTTCGAGCTGGGCTACCCCATCGGGAGCGGAAACTTCGGCCAGGCCGGTAGTCACGGCCTTTTAAGCGAGGAGCGAAGCCTCCGACCTCGGAGGTCCTACTTTGTACCCGGCATGACCAACCGTCGCAGGCGGCTCGCACGAATGCGCACGTTCTGGCCAGCAACATGTGCTCACGCTGTTGCCAGTCCTATGCTGTCAAAGTCGTGGACATGGACAGCCAGGTATCAAAAGCGATGGAGGCTGGTGGATTTAAGTTGCCCGAAACTGCTAAGATTGTAAGTAGGGGATAGCAGACCCAGAGCTATATGCGGTGCTGACACATTTCCACACCAGATCATGCTGGAAGGCTTTCAAATCAGCCAGAGCGGAGGCAATTCTGGGACCGTTGTGACCTGCGCAGCAGCAGTCGAGAGTGCGAAGAGCGCAGGTGTAGGCCGTCGGTTCCATCCGTTTTTCAGTCATCTGACATCGGGAGATGCCCTGCAGTTGGATATCATGAAGAGGCTGGACCATCCCAACATTGCCGCCTGGCTCTTCAAAAAAAACGTATCAGATGAAACAGAGACCACATGTAACACAACAAACGATCGAACCAGGTTTTGGAACAGCAGGTTACATTGCTTACATACCAAGTATGCCGTTGTAAGGTAAAGCTCATCCAGGTCTTTCAGGCTCGCTGCAATTGGCACGGCCACGTACAATGAGTGTTTCTCTCTTCCTTCGCTGAGCTTCCTTCGTGTTTATGCATATGGGTGTGGATGCTGTGCCCTAAACCCTAATACCCCAAACCCTAAACCCTAAACCCTAAACCCTAATACCCTAAAGCTATGTCTTTTGTCATGGCCGTGACCCCAAGACAGACCTGCATTCTGCCGCTGCCCCTCGGCTCAAGCCTGTCTGGAAGAAATCGCTGCTTGGAGTTCTACTTTCCCTGTCAGTTTAATCAAAGCTTAATCAGCGTAGCATGCGCAGATACAGTGCTCATTTCTTCTGGACATGGCTGGCCACTATGCGGTGTTTGTGTACAAGTTTAGGTGCCTCATGAAGCCTCCTTTGGCTTAATTATGCTGCAAGTGATGTGTACCAATGTTGCAGGAGCATGAAGTGAGCTCCACTGTATGTACAGCGGTTTGTCTGAAGATAGGGGAGGAACTGATCAGCAGTTCACGAGTGGGAGACATGTCTCTAGAATGGCGTTGCCTGGCATGGCCTGCTCCTTGCCTTTGCGCGACTGCCTGTTTATAGTGCCTTGGAGTATACGAAGGCTTCGACAGTTGAGGGCAGTGAAGAGCTGTGTACAACAAGGAGGAGTAGTCCCCACCGTGCCGAGGTTCTTCCAACCTTCCTATGTCTTTAAAGGCGGTGCAAATCTGGGAAGTCATTGGTGGCGCAATTTCTGGTGGTCTGCTGGTGCGCACGGGCAGAGGACTAGGCCTGGACAGTAAGTAGCGACTTGTTTTAAAGGTATAGATCCAGTATAGATGGTTTTCGTTGCATAAAGGCAAGACATGGGCATTGACACTTTACAAGAGCTGGTTGGGATCTGCCGCAGCAGTCGTTCGAGAAATAGCTATGCAGCGAGATGCGGGCAGTCTTGATCATCTGAACCAATAACAATCATAATAATGATAATAGTCTTTGAATGGGAAGAGGAGTTCCCGAAGCACTAAACCCTGAACCTTAAACTCTAAACCCGACACAGAGAGAGTCAGCGCACGAAAAAGGTCGGGTACTCTGCAACCGACGCACCCATATGTTGACTCTAATGACAGGTTCTGGCCGCGAGCCACAGCGCTTGCGGACAGGTGGGCTCTGCATAAAAATTCCCATCATAATAATGATAATAATAATGATAATAATAATGGTAATAATAAATAATACCCATCATAATCATAACAATAATAATAGTAGTATAATAATACTACCCATCATAATAACAGCAATTGTAACAATCAGTGTGCATGTGGCTGCCGCCAGGCTCCGTCGTTGAAGAATTGGAGCTCGATGGCGACAGACTCCACTACAAGCCGCTCTCATGAGAAGGGCTCTGCTGGCATTAAACCCCTAACTCCATTTTAAACGCCCCTGGCTGTTAGGCTGCTGGAAGGCGCTGGGCCAGTTCACGGTTGGGTCAGCACGAAACTCAATGTGTCCCAGCAGCATCTTGCTGTCTCTGCTGCTGCCTTGCGCTTTTGCGCTTGATTTGGCCACAAGCCCTATTTTGTTATCCCCTAAACCCTAAACCCTAAACCCTAAACCCTAAACCCTAAACCCTATAAACCCTAAACTCTATAAAGCTTTCTCTCGTTTTGAAATCGGAAGGACCGAGACCTGCTCCAGCGGTGCAAGTCCACGGCCTGTGGGAGAACAGCGGGAAACTCTAAGGAGCCAAGAAGCCTAAGCTGGACGGCCAACTGTGAAGCTTGAAGGGGTTTAGGGTTTAGGTCGGATTTTGGGTTTTAGGGTTTATGGGTTTACAGCAGGGTTTAGGGCTTCAAAACCCCATCCTGATCCTCAGAGGGTGCTACAACGAACTGAGTTTTGGGGCAGGAGAAGTTGCAGAACGCAGCCACGTTGCAGGTTGCACAAATGGAACCCCGGCATGCAGCTGCTTGTAGCAGTTTGTGCCATTGCGAGGTCTTGTCGTTCAGCTACAAGCAGCATCTACTTGGGGATTCGGTGCTAGCATGTGCTCTCGAATTCAATGAAACAGCACTTGAAACTCCAGCGTCCGTGGCATATCCTGAAGGTTGAGCTTGCGAGACTTGGAGACTAAAAGCAGCGTCTGCATGGGGTTAGCCTCTGCTGATGTGTATTCTCGCCGCTGATGTAGAATTCCTTGAACCAGCGCCCACACTCGGGCGATGTCTATTCTCGCCGACTGATGTGAGATAAGCCCTACGCTCATATCGTGCAGGTGGGAAGATGCACACCAAGTGAATTGTCCTTCACGCAACATAGTCTAGTGGCCCCATCAACGACCTTGAAGCGGAATCAGCTTGCGTGAGTTTCGAAACGACATCAGCGGCCACGGATCAACACGGCATTGGATGCAGCAGATCTTGCGGTTCATGTTTGTAAGACAACTCCCTGCTTCTCGCTGACGACGGACGCAAGGATGTGCTTGCAATCGCACTGAATGTCGCTTCGCTGGTGCAAACGGGGCCGCACTTCAAAGTCACGAAGGCAAATCCTGCCATGATCAAAGGTGGGTTTGATGACTTTCTGGCTATGCTTCCTGACAGGTGTGCAGCGAGAGATTGCTGGAAATCGCCCCCAGCGACAAGAGCGTAAGCCCCTTCAGCAAGATTAAAGTTGTATGTTCCAGTTGTGCTCATGATTCATGATTTTGTCTCGATTTCCTGCTCCGTCAATGCCTTTCCCCATAGGCCCCATAGTAGTTCCTTTTTGGGGTTCATATTTAGAATCCTATAAGGTAATCCCAAAAAGGAACTACTATGGGGCCTATGGGTCTACATGTTACAAGTCTCTTCGGGCGCTCCCTCGCACTCTCTCCATGTGCTTCGTGCCTGGCTCCGCAGGAGCCGTCACTGTACATGAAGCTTTGCGCACATTCATGTGGGTAGCTCTCTAAATTAGGGTCCCTTTTTTTGGTCCCCAGCATAGTACGGCACCCTTATAAAAAGGACCCTAAAAGGGACCCTGGTTTAGAGAACTACCCAGGTGCCTGTGCAGGACTTGTTTTCGGGAAAAGGTTCTGACACAAGTGGCACCGTCACATGCAGACCCAGACACAAACCCACTAATTCACCACAGAGAAAACGCCTGCACACACGCACGCACGCACACACCCACGCACGCGAGCACGCGCACACGGAGGCAGCATTTTTTGAGAGGGGCCGATTACGGGGGGTGATAGGTTGTACTGAGCTCAAGTTAGACACTGCAGCGCAGACCTGTTTTCTGTGTACAACAGTTGCAGTGCACGAAGAGAAGCGCCTTTGCATGTATTTATTGGCTGACAATATCGGGTACCTCCACTCAGCAAACTCCAGAACCCGCCCCTCCAGTGTCCAGTCACTCGGAATGTTGCCACATACAAGACTCGCGAAAGAACTGTGCCAACTAATCACCAGACTTGTCCTGCTCTCGTAAACAGAAAAACTGTGCACAGAACGTCTGAATCCAGCTTTCTCCCCAGTCTGCATTGTGGGTTTTTCCTGGAAGCAGAATGGGAAAGTGCCAGGACGACGAGTTTCTGGTTCTTTCCTGCATGTTCTTCTTCACTCAAAACAGTCTCAACACTAATCCCTACACCCCAGCCCTACACCCCAAGTCCTCAAGCCAAAGCTCATCTCCGTCCGAATGGATCGCATTCTTCTCCGCCCTGTAGGAGATCAGCAAAGCCTTCGCTTCAGGAGTAGGCCAAAGCGAGGAAGCTGCCTGCAAGATACCTATCTTCGAAGGAAGCGAAGCAACGAAACAAGGTTTTTGAAACCCTAAGCCCTAAACCCAAAACCCAAAACCCTCAACCCTAAACCCTAAACCGCTCTGCTGTGACCTTTTGTGCAAGTGTTGTCAAGTTCACATGCTGCCCTAACAAGCTTGAACAACATGTATTGATAAGTACAAAGGCGCTGTGCTTCGTAAATGTTCTAAACAGACTGACTTTGTCCCAAAGAGGCTTCGATGATTTCTGGCCATCTGACTGCTCTTTGACGGCGGACCGTCGTCACTACTTGTACTGGGCCATTGCGGCTTGGGCGAGCATCCCATCTCAGACTGTGCAAAGTCCATAGTGATGGTGCCCCAGAAACCCTTGACGGTCCCGAAGTCGTCTCTGAGGTGTGCAGTTCATCTTGCGACACTTGGACACTCGCCTTGGCGCTTCTTGGTTTTCGTTGTGAGCGTAGCCCTTTTTGCCTGAACCCTAAACCCTTAACCTCATAGGAGACCGGGCTGCCGAAACGGAGTTCAAAAACAACCCTCAACCCTACACCTTACAAACCCAAAATCTTATAAATCCTCAACCCTAAACCTATAAGCCTGATGAACCTGAGAAAAGCAGGCCCAAAGCCCTGATGCTTGCAAGCTTCTGCCATGGCAAGCCTTGAGCTGTGGAGGTTGACGCTCAAGGAGCTCTCGGACTATGGTGTGATCATTACACACGACTCCCGAGTCCCGACTTGAAGATGGGGGATGGTAGTTCCTTGGGCCATTTCTGTGGTGCCTGTGGGACTGGCCTGATAAGAACTATGACTTGAGCATTTCTCTACACGCATGCATTGGATTAAGTCATCACGTCCTGGTAATCAACGCCTGCAATGCATGAAGCTCCTTGGAGTTCAAAGAACCAGACCGGAAAGTCCCGCTGTGGGAAGACCTCCTCGTGCCATTACATGCCTCAGCCTGGCAGAACGCAAGCACAAGGACCGGTCGTCAACTTCGTTGTGCTGAACACTCCTAGCATGGACGTGGGCGACCTTCTTCCTGATTCCGTGGCTACTTGCCAGCACTTCCTCTAGTTCTGATCGGCTTGGTGCCACTTTGATGCCTCCCCGGTCGAAAGGACTTGCTTGAGCCCATCTCGGGAGCTCGCGTCTCCATGTGCCGCCCTTAGTTCGAAGGATAGAACTCTGGAGTGCCGTGGAGACGCTGCACCGGCAAGCTTTTGTCGATCTCAACATTGTAGCACCCATGTTGTCTGCTGGGCCCGTCTCATGGACCACCGTTCAATACCGTTCGCCGTGTAGTCAGGTTCAGCACTCCTGCGTCTCAGCTGGCTCTGAAGACCCTTGGGCCTGAAGTCCAAGAACGACTTGGCTGGGGAGCCTTGGCCGCTCCAGCTTGACCACCTTCCGTCTCCGTCTCCGGCGGCTTTCTTCAAGTCTTTCTGAGGCGTCTCATCGATGTTTGATGATGACTTGCGAAGTACGTTTGCCGAAAGATTCGGAGAGAGGAGCCTATCGCAAACTGTACCTCACTGGCAGCTCGGCACTGATCGGTCATCTATATGTGTATATATAAAGTAAGATATATGAATATACATATTATATATGTGTATGCTATAGTATGTATGTATATATATATA